CCGTTCCAAAAGCAATGGGCTTTCGCAAGCTCTTCCTGCTCCATGGGGGGTCCAAAGGGCTCAGCTAAGAGACTGGGATCTTCTCTTCGCGAGCGGGTGTTTCTACTTTTCGAGTCCCTGGTTTTACGTGTTTGGTTGAAGGCTCCACGCAAATCCAGCGAATCGCCGGACTTTCTTCGCGCTGACCCCTGTTGAGCAAGGTTCACTTGGTCCATTTTGGCATCAGCGTCTGTTTTTTTTTGCAATCCTCACCTGGCTATTTTGGTTTTTGGACGTGCGGTTTTTGTCTCCAATCCACTTGTTGTGGAGAACCAAAGGGTTGCTTCAATTTCCAGGTGTTCCATACGTTTGGGGATGGCCAGAACGTTAGGCTCGGGTGAAGAACATGAGAGGGCCTTTTGCTTTCAGGGCCAACTTTGGAGTATTCGCTCTGCCGGGCCGATTTCAAATCCCACCGTTCCCAAGAACCCAAGGGGCTATCATTGGACAGTCCAGCGGTCCAAGCTGCAAGCTGCCTGAAAAATGCGATGGGTGTCTCCAGGCACGAAGGAATGTCACATTCTATTTCTGCAGTGTCTTTTTTTTCTGCTCTCGCCTCTATCAAAAAGGGTTTCTGATGCCGGAAAATGCGGCCCCCTAACGGTAGACTTCCTTTTCAGTTTGCTTCCTCCGAAAAGAAGAAGCGCTTTGGCCATGCGGGACCCCAAGGCGGAGCGACGGCGGCACCGGCAGGCACAGGCCCGATGCGGGACAGGGGGTGGTTCGCTCGCAATGGTCATGCTGACTGCTTGTTGCAGTGGATGCCAAGGGGTGGTCAATCTCCAGCATCACGCAGTGCAAATCACATCACCAGCGACGCGAGTCACTCACCAAAGTCAAATGTGATGGGAGGATGCCCACCCCCCTTCAAAATGGAGTTGGGGGAGGGGGGTGACCCCTGCAGTTCCATTTAGGGTTCCATTTTCCCTTTTGTGGGGAAGACTGGAATAAATGGAATTGTGGGCCCCCACCCCCCTCCCCGTTAAGGTAGGGGGGATATGGCAGGACACAAACAAATACTGACCGTTGATCGTGGCTTTTGCTTCCATCCTGAGGTGCTCTGTGCTATGTTCTGTGGAGCCAGCAAGCAGTTTTCTTTTGCGAGGCCTTTTGCTTGCTTGGACCATGAGCTGGCATTGGGGAAGGGGGTGAGCTTGGGGGGAGTATTGGACGTGCCCGTTGTTTTTGATGTCCGGAGTATGATCGAATCCCGCTCGGAGGAAAGATGAAGTCATGACATGTTCATTGCGTCAAAGACGGAAGCAACATATTGTTTCTTGGAGACTAAGTTTTGTATGTGTCAGGAGTCAAATCACTCGGCCCACGGCCTGTTTGGATTGTGAGACGCGAGAACCTGATAAAGGGTACGACCGGCTGTGGGTTCCGAACCTAGGCAGGGTGTGTGGAGGAAGGCGGTGTAAGCTGCCTTTCCTGGGGATGGACAAGGTCACATGCTTCGTGGGTTGCTCCTAAATGGCTCCCATTTTGGGGTGCACCACCCATTTTAGAACCTATTTTAGTGGGGATTGGGATGTTCACCGGGGGTACGGGATGTTGACCCATGGCCATATGTTGTCCATTCACAGCTGTTGCGTCGTGCTTACGGCTCTTCATGCGAAGCTGAGTTGTGCTTCATTCGGACTGCAGGCATGCCGCCCATGAGCGCGCTCTGGCAGCACTTCAAACATGGGCCCAGGGACGACGGGAATTCGCAGTCCGAACCTCTTGGGGATGTTAGCCAGGATCGAGTGCAACCTTGGCACCCAGGGTGGGAAAATCGTGGACCCCTCTCGGATGGCAAAGGGAGAACGATCCGAAGCAGGGGATTTAGATCCTTAGTTGAGGTGGTTGGGCGCGGCAGGATTCACAACGAGCAGGTGACACGCTTCACCTCATCATTTCGGCACGTTCCAGGCTTACGGCTCTCAGAGCCTCAGTTCCCGCGCTGAGGTCAAGAAGTCCCTTGTGGGCGAAGACTCCTCGGACGAGGACGAGACGCCGACGCCTGCGCGGCCGCTGCCAGGAGCGCCTTTTGGTCAGGTGGAGTTTTTTGCAGGGAGGTCAGAGGAAGGCGCGTGGTCTTTTGACCTACTAGCCCTGGCACGTGCCGCTACCTTGACAAGCCTGGTTGATTGGTTGGTCGGTTGGTCGGTCGGTCGGTCGGTCGGTTGGTTGGTTGGTTGGTTGGGTGGTGCATTAACTCGGTGATGAGCTGGTCGGTCCTTTCAGATTTATGGTTGTTTCAGTTGCTGAGGTTGCTTTGAGAAGGGCTGTGGCTATTTTTGACTGGCAAGGTGTGACATGGGGGGCTTGTGTCACTGCTTGTATCATGGATTGGGGCTTGCAAAGGAGTTGTTTTGGTCTGAATTGGGTCGTGTTCAAGTGGGATTTCTTGTGGTTTTGGGGGGGGGGGTTCTTGCGGCTTTGGGGTTGCTCTCTTGTGTTCGGTGTTTAAACAGAGCTTTGTTTCGGATTGTCGCAGTCAGGTGGGTGTTGGGCAAATCGGCAAGCCCTCCAAAACCAGCCCAATGGGATGGTCAGCATTCTCTGAGGGCTCCGCAAAAAAAACACGCGGGGGCTAAGCAAAAAGAAACATGTCGCCTTGGGGGGTCAACTGAAGGTTTTTTGTTGGGGGGGCCCTGGCATGTTGAGCCTGGCTTCGCGTTGGCCCGCCTTGACCTCTGGTCCATTATCGCCCCTGCACGGTAGCTGGGCTGGGTTTGTGGAATCCCCTCAAAGTTCATTGGAGAAGGCCACCACAAATAGCAAAACTTCAAGGCGCCAATCGAAACCAAACATCAAAGCATGCTGGACACGTGTCGTAGGTTATCGCGGGCGCGTTGGTATTCTGTCGTCGAGGGGGCCGTGGAAACGGCACTGAGTTTATTCTCTACTTTGCCGCGTAGATGTACGCCGCCACTAGGAACATGTCATGTTTCTCTCACCTGCAAAGAGTTCCAGAGACCATACGTGAGCGTCCCATAATATTGTTTTTTTGCTTGGCCCAAAAGTCTGTTGGTGGCACTTTCTGCATTTGGCTATCCACGTGCAATATGGATGTGATTTCAACCCCACCCTTGCTATCCGCGAAATAGCCAAAGGACAATTTGAAGCGGAGTTCTCAATTCTCAAGTTATGACTCACAGGTTATTCGATATTCTAGCAATTGTTGAATATTTCTCGTATAGGTGCTGCACCAGAAGGCGAACAACAAAGGGCTGTGGGCAAGCCAAATTCGGAGCAGCCTCATAGCACGCATGCCCTTTTCATGCAGTATGCGTGGCCCTCTGGGCCACAGTGCTGCACTGCCTGATTGCTCATTGAGCCTGCCGCCGAGTCAGTATTGGCAGGCGAGCAAGCAGTTGGGATTAGGAACAAAGTATGTTTGAACTATGCATGTACTTTGCTCGTATTCATGGACTTGTGTGAGCGTGTGAATCAGTGTGTGTCTGTCTGTGTCAACCATGCAACATTCAGACACAAAGCCAGGCTCCTTACATTGGCTGGCCCGAAAGCATGACATGGGAGTGGGTCAAAATTAAACCAACAGGGGACCGCAGATTTTGGACCATGTTTCCACTTACCAGGGTTCCAGCACCTATTTTGTGACCCACAGCCACATGGTCAAAAACGGCAGGCTTCGGCGGGCAGCGCTTGTCCTTGCCTGCGCCCGCAGATGGGCGCCCGATCATCGAGGACGAGGCATTGGTCGTTTAGCAGCTGCGGGGTCCCGGATCAAAGGGCTCCCCAGGCTTGATGCTTTGCAGATGACATGTTTGCATGAGGCTGAGTGATTCAGCCCATGGCATCAATCAACAAAGCCATGGCCCATGCCAAACAGTAATATCTGAGGGGGTGCACCGTGGCAACAAGGCTGGGGGGGAGTTCCAAACTTCCAAACAAAATCATCAGTAATCGATACTGTCCGTTGATAGCGTTTGACTGCCTTGCACGCGGCCACATGCCGTTCAGGAAGATGACGAGGACGAGGCGCCAGCCCGGCACGAAAAGCAGTGCTTCATGCGTGCAGAAGGTTCCTGCACGAAGATCAGGATCCCCAGCAAAAACGCATTTGCCAGTGCACAAGGCAGAGTTCTACTTTCTCTCTTGCCTTGTTTGCTTTTTGGGCTTCCCATAGTTTAGCGTGGCCTTCTCGGAAGGCATGCACTGGTTCGTTCTCCTCTATTCATGCTCAATGCATGTTTTGGCGCGCGATGTTGTTTCCACCCCCGGCCCCCTAAGACGCCGCGAATTGAAACAACACTAAAACACAATGTTCTGGGGCTTTTTGGTCAGGAGGGCTTGGGGGCATCGGCGGCATACATCAGCCAACTTCTGGACGGCTTTTATCGTGCGGGCATTAGGACTTGATGGCGCCCAAGTCCTCACGTCAGCTTGGTGACAATTGACCCTCCGCAAGGCCGAACGGTGCGGCTGCGGATAGGCAAAGGGTTACCCTCAGGGGAGCACTTTCGGCTTGCCCAGAGAGGTTCAAAAGGGACGTCTTCGAGCTCGGCGCTCTCGCGCGGCCTGGGCTCAGTTCCACAACTTGGCTGGATTCTAGCAGCATCTCAGCAAGAGCCCGTACCAACTACCAACCCGTTTTGGGATCCTGTGCTTGTGACATCACTTCTCCCCCTGCTCAGCACTCGCCTGTCAGATTTTACTGGAGAGCCCGGAGATCCGCAGCCTTTCAGACAGCGAGACAGGCATACCTTGGAAGACCATTGTGGCGGTTTGTCCGTTGTTTGTGGGAGAGGATAGAGTCCGATTCTTGCTTGTTCCGTGAACACGCGCATCACGCAGCGGGGAAGCCGGCAGATCCTGCTAACTTATATTTTTTGCATGTGCTGGCAGGAGGATTTCTGTTGCTTTTCGGGGCATGCAGCCTAACGGACTTGCCAAACCTGTGTCTCTTCAAATGAGAAGGGACCTACGCAGTCAGCTTACCGAGGAGCGAGGTGGCCGTCTCTTAGGCTGGCGAGGCTTTAAATCGAGATCGCGCGGCCGAAAAGCCATGATTTTGAGAGCCTGGCTGCTGGCTGCTGTTGGCGTGGCGGCAGCTGATGAGGGCGACCTGGCTGGGTACGTGGAGCATTAGCCAACACAGTCCGACCTATTGGCCACCCTATTGGCCACCCTGTTGGCCACCCTATTGGACACCCCGTTGCCCACTTTAGTACAAGGTTCTACTTGGGGTTGTAGTAAAGCCTACAGAAACCATTGTAACATGTTGATCACAGCATTATGGAATTCACAACTTCCTGCAGAACAAGATCCGAGCTTTGCAAAATACACAAACACAAACCCGCAGCATTTCAGGTTTGGCTGGTAGTTAGGTGCCCGCATAGATGAACAATTCACCCCCGAGCTGAGCAGACATCAGCCTCAGTAGTTGATGCAGACGTGTGAGTCATCACTGGCCGCCACTGGAGCCAAGCCCGCGTTAGTCGGAAGTGCTCAAGTCAAGGCAACAGGGTATTCTTCGAATTGTGGAAGTGCTCTTGGATTTTGTCCGAAAACACCAGAAAAGGGAACCAGCCTTTTGCAGTACTCTGGTTGCGGCGAATGATTTTCTGCTGTGACAGTCCAACAATCGGTCCATCAAGGATACTAACCCCTTCAGAGGGCACCACACCCGCAAGGTGGGAGCGTCCCTGGCCCCAAGGGGGGAGGGGCGTGCTGAAGTGACAAGCTGTGTTTGAGGACACCGCACTCACATCACGTTTGCAAAGCCGGGTTGTGTCTCATGGTTGAAGTCCAAGACGTATCTCAAAAGGCTGGTGTACGCAAACGGCAACCTTTGCTTGTTCAGCAGGGCAGCTTTGCCAATGACGAATGACTCATGAGGACAGATTTCTCAGAAGAGGTAGCTTGTATGAGCATTCTAGCCATGATGAGAAAGTTGGCAAGAGCATTTGCATCCAAAAGGTACGCTCGGTTCAGACTAAAGGACGTACTTTGGCATCCGGAGCTTGTTTCCGGAAGGCAAGACAAACTATGTGGATATGTGTACAGGCTGATTCGAAAGGGTAGGATGGTTAAGATGGACTTGCAAAGGCCGATTTACATGAAGTATTTGCAACTTTTACTGAGAACTTGCGCAGTGCAAATAGAGGGAACCCTCAAGATGCGCAATTTGCCTTTGACACCACTCCAGAAAGGGTACCCTCTAGTCCACCACGAGATTTCTATCACCATGCCCCTTTTTGGAGGAAAGTTGCTTCCAGGGTCAGCCATCAGGTTCCATGTTACTGGCAGGGCGGCCCCTTTTCCGGGCCACCCGAAACGGCATATGTCCTTTCTGACTTCCCTTGAAAGTGGTACCCTCCAAAACCGTGCGCGCCCAAAGTACCAGGAAACACACAAAAAATCCGCCCGCGCTTCCTGTCCGTCGGCTCAGGATGGAGCTTCTGGAGCTCCTTGAGGCGCAAGAAGGGCATTTTGGTGTGGGTTCACATAGAAAAAGGGGACAGATCACCGCAAGAAAGCTGCGAGTGGTTGAGATAAATACTCTTTGCAGATCATTCGAGACAGAGGATCAAGTGGCGCCAAGGTTTGCGCGTATTCACATGAGAACGCCCGAACCAGTTCACAATCCAACAGCAAAACTCCAAGGACCCCAAACAAAAAATTGGCGGCGGCTCGCAGGAAGTGCTGAGTCTGAGGCGCAGCATTTGGCCGCTGAGCTCCGGAGCGAATGAAACTGAACTCAGTTTGCCATGGGTCAAAATCCAAATCGTACCTCCAGTGAACATCCCAAATCCAACCACTAAAATAGGAAGCCTAAAATGGGTGGTGCACCTACCCCAAAATGGTACCATTGGTTTTGACCCACAGCCAGTTGATCTTTCCATGAGCCGCCTCCTATACGAAGCAAGCTTTCCCCGCCGGTTGATGCGCCAGATAATTGTATGCCAAGGCAACAAGCTGCTTTGGCCCGCATGGTTCATGTTCATAGGACAACACAGGACATTTCATGAAGCGGTATAGAATCCTTTCAGGCAGCCGCAAGAACTTCTAGATACCTATTTCCTTTTGGCTCAAAACGTGATCAACGGGCCTTCAATGGGTCTGTTGTGCTGGTTGTCTTGTTTGAACCTGGTGATTGAAGATCTGCCCACTTGGGTGTCTTAAAATAGGGACGTCCCTTTAGTTTCCCTTTAATGCAACCCCGAAAGGGGTATCCTCAAACAATGACAGACCCATGTAAATTTCCCCCAAATGGTTGTGGTGTGTGTGTGTGTGTGTGTGTTGAATCCAGTTGTGTAGCCAACTTGGATGGCCTTGAATTTGACGAAGTGAGTCCCCCCCGGTGTTTCCCACTCGAAAATTACCCGCATTCTCATCCCCCCCCAAACCCAATCAACTGAGATGTGGAAGTTGGACAAGTTGGTCCCATTCTTGATTTGGCCCCTTTCCCTTTGAAACCAAGCAACAAGGGGCACCAACCCAAAAGAAGGCATGCCACACCCACATTCCCCACATTCCCCTCTCCGAATGCAGGGCGGGCTTCCCTCGGGTTTCCAAATCAAAAGAACCCACCAAAACGGTGATGCGCAACTCCCAGAAAAAGGACCTGACATACCCACCTCCCCCCCCCCCTTCCCACCTTCCCCACCTTCCCCCCTTGTCCCCCCCCTTCTTCCCCACCCTCTCCCCCCCTTCTCCCCCACCCTCCCCCCCCCTTCTCCCCCCCTCCCCCCTTTCCCCCCTCCGAAGGCCCGAAGCCATCTCTGCATCTCTGCGAGGCTCGTCTCCGGTTTCCTCGGCCTGGATCACCTCCGGGAGAAGAAGCAGCGCCGGGCCCAGCTGGCCATCATCGGCGCAGGTGTCTCGGCGGCCGAGCGGTCGAGAGGGGAGGCGAAAAGCGGCCAGGGTGAAGCACACACATCAGCTTGGGGCTCCCCTCTTGGTGGCCGTTGAATGGGTTATTGAGTTGCTTAAAAGCTTGGAGTTTGGATTATTATTTTTTGGGCGGCTCCAGAAGCAAACTGGTGGGCGCTCCATGGTGCGCTGTCTTTTCCTTCCCGCCCCCTCCCGCGTTATTGTGGCCCGTCCGCTGGCTATTCTTGTTGTGGTTGATTGAGTTCGTCAGATCTGTGTTTTGCCCTTCGTTCCCCTTCCTGCGACCTTCGCCGGGTTCGGAACACCGACGGACACCCACCAAAACCTTGCGCCCGCGGTGCGGGTTGGACTTTGGAGGCTTCTCACGCACGGGCACCAAGTCGATGGAGACTGCCCTGTCGCAGCTGGGCTACCAAATCTACGCAGCTCAGCTAATTAAAGCAAAGGTTTGGGGGAGTCCGGAAACGGCATGGGAACTTCACTCATAGTTGATGCGTGGCGGAGGTTGCATAGTTATAGCGTATCAACCTGATTCAGAAATCCATGGATGATTCCCCCATTCACTAACAGTCACCACTGTTTGGAGGATCTTGTGCACACCACCATGAGAGCTTGAATACGCAATGGGCCTCTCCTAATCGATTAACTTTCCTGGAGAAGTCAAATGCTGACGACCTTTTGGCCACTTTGATTTCCTAGTGTTGGTTTATTTAAGTTGCGGCCCCAACAGGTTCATCTTGGGTCTTTGGGACACGTGAGTTTCAGATTGGTCCTTCGCGCCACATTTGGGGGGGCAGTCAGAGGATGTGACGGTTGCAAGTTGCAGCAGCAGTGTTTGTGTTTTAGGCTCCTTAAAAAGTCCTTTTTGGGCTTGAGGACCATTGCGAGCGTCGCTGGAATTGCAACGTTGATTAGGTGGTGCAACCATTTTGTGGCGGCGGTTTCTAGTACCACGTTTGGCAGCATCTTTGCCTGGTGAATATCAAGTTTCAGCTCTCTTTGCTTTCGAATGCCCGGTTTCTTCCAAGTGTTATGTCATGTTTAACCCTTCGTCCCCTACCGCGCGAACCTACAGTTGGGATACATGGCTGAAATGAGTCTATTTGAAGGCTCCGACCAATGTGGTCCAGCTAGCTGTCCTGGGGTCAACAGATATTTTTGGGGCGGTAGAGGTTGGTCATCGACCTTTGGCAGAGCAGATTATTAAATGAGTCATAGGTGGACTCTACGCTGTATCCATTCCATACTCATGATGGTCGCCCCGGCCAAAGTGCGCAGAGGGTTCCTCCGAGCCCGCCTCGGGCAGGTCGCGACCGAGTGGTATTCTCCAGTTCTTGTGTGTTCCGCCTTTTTCGTAGCTGTTTCAGCGCAGTCCATTTAGCCTTCAAGATCACGCGAAGGGGCATGCATTCGTAGAGAGAGCGAGAGCAAGTCTTAATTATTCCGGTACTACCGAAGTTCCTGTAGACTTCCTTTGGCTACTACTACTCACTACTGCTACTCCTCCTACTCACTACTGCTACTACTGCTTCTGCTGCTGCTACTGCTACTGCTACTGCCACCACCACCGCCGCCGCCGCCACCGCCGCCACTACCACCACCACTACTACAATGACTACTGCGGCTACCGCTATGTATGGGCTAGGGTTCAATTGACTTTTGTTGCCGCAAGAGAGGCTCGTCTGGACAAAGCGATTGACCTTCATAAGCTTGCGAAAGAAAAGGTGTCCGACTGCACCTGCTCCTGTGATCTTGACTCTGGTTCTAGGGCGTATCAAAGTCAACAAAAGCATTTTTTCCCTCAAGCCTACTTTTCGGTGACATCGATCAGGGCAAAAAAGGCAGCATGAGCATTGGCTGCAAACGGGGGAGGGTTGGCAATTTGGCCAAGGACATGCGGTCTATGCTACAGCTGGGCCATGCCGCGCTGGCCAAGTTGGGGCGTGATCGTTTGGGGGGTGGTAGTGAGAGTGCGGCGGGTTTGGAGAGCTCCGTGCGGTGCACTCAAGGTTTTTAGGTTCCGTAGGGTTCTTTAGCTTAGTTTTTCAGTGGGATTTCACCTTGTTCCATTTCTTTCTGCTCCAGCTGGTTCTTTCGACCCAGACGGGAAGCCCTTTCACACCCTTGTGGAAAACTATTGGGCAACTGTGGTGAGTTGGTAGCCAGAATGCAATCCTGTTGCGCTGGATTCCCGGCAAGCCATTTGCTACCATGGTTCAGGCATCCACGCACACATGACCATGAGACTCCAGACACCCGTTGCAGATCAGAAAGATGTACAAAGTGTTTTGACAGAAGTTTCGCAGGGTTTTGCATTTGAGCATTTTTTTGTAAGACGTGGAGGAGGCAGCGCTCAGGAGGAGCGCGCTTGACTATTCCTCAGGATCTGGTTGCGCCCATGCCAAAAGAACCTTGTGCATAAGGGGGTTGCAGGTGTTAGCTACTTTCCAAACTCGTTGATTTCCACCGCCACCACCACCACCACCGCCACCACCACCACCACCCACCACCACCACCACCACCACCACCACCACCACTACCACCACCACCACCACCACCACCACCACCACCACCACCACCACCACCACCACCACCACCACCATGACAACCACCATTTCCTTTTGAGGCGACCAACCCCAGAAAGGCCGCCCGAGCTTCGTCTTTCGTGGCAGGTGGAGGGCTGGTTGGAGGCGGCCCAGACGTGGCGGCGTGGCAACAGCACGGCGCTGGAGAAGATGCTGCAAACCGTGGAGGAGCTCGGCGCCTTGGAAGACACGGAAAGGGACACGTCTCTGTGGTTTTTGGGGGCGAGGGGTGAGGCTGGTGAGGGGGTGGGGTTTGGGATGGTGCGGTGTTGGGATTCTTACAAGCGCAAACAAGTGTAGAATGAGTTGTGGCGGCCAAAGTTGCAGTCGCCTTCAAAACACCTCCAGTGGCCCCACTTTCCTCAATATCTGGAATGAAGCGGGGGGAAAAGAGTGCTTTTCAAAACGAAACTACCCGTCGGGTATATTGATGTAATTCACGAATATAATGTGCATGCAGCACATACATATATATATATATATATATATATATAAAGTTGCATAATTGATATATATATGTATATACATATACACATACATACATATGTACATATACTTTGGATAGATACATCTGGTGAAGTACGGTGGTGCATCCACACTTGGTTTGGAGTGCGCATGTGGTGATTACTGTTTGCGACGAGTATGTTTGACGCGCACAAGCACACACACACTGATGCAAGGCCCGCTGTTCACACTCTGGCAATTTCTGCAAGCCAATGGAGGCTTGATTTCCGAGCTGTTTTTTTGGTTGGCGGTACTGAAATCCGAAATCTGAACCGATTGGATGTTTTCAGTCACAAGGCTACACCGCGACTCTGGACCTGCCGATGAATTTGCTGGCGCCCGCGCTGGCGGAGATCAGGCCGTCCGCCAAGGTGGTGATGACTGTCAGGCGGGACTCGGGAGCCGGGAGAGCCCTTTGGAGTTGGTTGCGGGTGAGCCCATGTAGGTCAAAATTAAACCATTTGGGGACTGCAGGTTTTAGTCCATTTGGCAGGGTTCCATTTTTGGGTACCTAGTTTTGACCCACAGCCATACAAGCCCCCTTGGTTGCTCCTTGACAAACGAAGGCGCCCAGAGAGTCGAAGGTCCTCCAATCTTTGCCAGTCATGTACACTAGCTTAGTAGATTCTGCAGGTATATATATATATAGATAGAAAGATAGAAAGATAAATAGATAGATCGATAGATCGATAAATCAATAGACTGATAGATTGAAAGATTGATGGATCGATAGATTCATAGATCGATAGACCGATAAATCGATGGATTGATAGAGCGGTAGATTGATAGATGGTTAGATCGATAGATCGATAGATCAACACAGCGATAGATCGATAGATTGATAGAGCGCTAGATCGATAGATTGATAGAAGGGAAGATCGATAGATCGATAGACCAGTAAATCGATAGACCCATAGAGCGGTAGATCGATAGATTGATAGATCGACAGAGCGATAGATCGATTGATAGAGCGATAGATAGATAGATTGATAGAGCGATAGATAGATAGATTGATAGATTGATAGAGCGGTAGATAGATAGATTGGTAGATCGATCGATCGATAGACCGATCATTCCATAGATCGATAGAGCGGCAGATCGATAGAGCGGCAGATCGATAGATCGTTATATCGATCGATACATCGACAGAGCGACAGATCGATACATTGATAGAGCGACAGATAGATAGATTGGTAGATCGAACCATCGATGGATAGATTGATAGATTGACATATTTATACATTGATAGATTGATAATTCGAAAGATCGATTGCCTGATAAATCGATAGAGATAGAGCGGTAGATCGATAGATCCCTAGATCGATAGATCGACAGAGCGATTGATCGATAGATTGATAGAGCGAAAGATAGATAGATTGGTAGATCGATAGATCGATCGATACATTGATAGATTGATAGATTGTGAGATTGATGGATCGATATATCGATAGATTGATAGAGCAATCAATCGGTAGATAGAGCGGTAGATCGATAGATCCTTAGATCGATAGATCGACAGAGCGATAGATCGGGAGAATGATAGAGCGATATATATAGATAGATAGATAGATTGGTAGATCGATCGATTGATCGATCGATCGATATATTGATAGATTGATAGATTGTTTGATTGATTGATTGATAGATCGATAGATTGATAGATTGATAGACCAATACATCGATAGACCCATAGAGCGGTAGATCGATAGATTGATAGATCGACAGAGCAATAGATCGATTGATAGAGCGATAGATACATAGATTGGTAGATCGACCGATCACTAGATAGATCGATAGATCGATAGATCGATAGATCGATAGACAAATAAATCGATTTCGATAGACCGATAAATCGATAGATCGATAGTCGGTGGATCGATAGATCGATAGATCGATAGATCGATAGATCGATAGACCGACAGAGCGATAGATCGATAGATTGATAGAGCGACAGATAGATAGGTTGGTAGATCGATCGATCGATCGATCGATCGATTGTTCGATAGATTGATAGAGTGATAGATTGATAGACCGATAAATCGATAGATCGATAGACCGATAAATCGTTAGGTCGATAGAGCGGTGGATCGGTAGATCGTTAGATCGATAGATCAATAGACCCACAGAACGATAGATCGATAGATTGATAGAGCGACAGATATATAGATAGGTTGGTACATCGATCGATCGATTGTTCGATAGATTGATAGATTGATAGATTCATAGATTGGTAGATCGATAGATCAATAGACCAGTAAATCGATAGACCCATAGAGCAGTAGATCTATAAATTGATAGATCGACCGAGCGGTAGATCGATTGATAGAGCGATAGATAGATAGATTGGTAAATCGATCGATTGGTCGATAGATAGATTGATAGATTGATAGATCGATAGACCGACAGAGCGATAGATAGACCGTTAAATCGATAGATCGATAGACCGATAAATCGATAGATCGATCGCGCGGTAGATCGATAGATCGTTAGATCGGTAGATCGATAGACCGACAGAGCGATAGATCGATAGTTTGATAGATCGACAGAGCGATAGATCGACTGATAGAGCGATAGATAGATAGATAGATAGATAGATAGATAGATAGATAGATAGATAGATAGGTTAGTAGATCGATCGATCAATAAATTAATAAATAGATGGATAGATCGATAGATCGATAGATTGATAGATCGATAGACCGATAAATCGATAGATCGATAGACCGATAAATCGATGGATCGACAGAACGGTAGATCAATATATCGTTAGATCGATAGATCGATAGACCGACAGAGCGATAGATCGATAGTTTGATAGATCGACAGAGCGACAGATCGACTGATAGAGCGATACATAGATAGATAGATAGATAGATTGATAGAAGTATTAGTAGATCGATCGATCAATAAATTAATAGATAGTTGGATAGATCGTTAGATAGATAGATCGATAGACCGACAGAGCGATAGATCGATAGTTTGATAGATCGACAGAGCGATAGATCGACTGATAGAGCGATAGATAGATAGATAGATAGATAGATAGATAGATAGATTAGTAGACCGATCGATCAATAAGTTCATAGATAGCTGGATAGATCGATAGATCGATAGATTGATAGATCGATAGATCGATACATCGATAGATCGATAGACCGATAAATCGATGGATCGATAGAGCGGTAGATCAATAGATCGTTAGACCGATAGATCGATAGACCGACAGAGCGATAGATCGATAGTTTGATAGATCGACAGAGTGATAGATCGACTGATAGAGCGATAGATAGATAGATAGATAGATAGATAGATAGATAGATAGGTAGATTAGATAGATAGATCGATAGATAGATAGATAGATAGATAGATAGATTAGTAATAGATAGATGGATAGATCGTTAGATGGATAGATCGAGAGACCCATAGACCGATCAATCGATAGATCGATAGACCGATAAATCGATAGATCGATAGAGCGGTAGATGAATAGATCGTTAGATCGATTGATCGATAGACCAGTAAGTCGATAGACCAATAGAGCGGTAGATTGATAGATCGATAGAGCGACAGTTATATAGATTGGTAGATCGATCGATTCATCGATAGTCTGATAGATTGGTAGATTGATAGATTGATAGATTGGTAGATCGATAGATCGATAGATTGTTACATCTATAGACCGGTAAATCGATAGATCGATAGAGCAGTAGATGGATAAATCGTTAGACCGATAGATCGATAGATCGACAGAGCGACAGATCGATCGATTGATAGAGCCATAGATAGATAGATAGATAGATAGATCGATAGATAGATAGATAGATTGGTAGATCGATCGATCGATAGATAGATTGATAAATTGATAGATCGATAGATCGATAGATGGATAGATCGATAGACCGATATATCGATAGATCGACAGATCGTTAGATCGATAGATCGATTGATCGACAGAGCGATAGATTGATAGTTTGATAGATCGATAGATATATAGATTGGTAGATCGATCGATCGATTGGTAGATAGATTGATAGATAGATAGATAGATAGATAGATAGATCAAAGATTACTCTGATTTTTTTTTGGCGGACAGAAAGAGGGATGCAGCGGCGGATGGCATGTCCTGCTCATCTTGTTGGACTCCCTCATCTGGAGCGTTGCCCAAATCGGTGAATAGATCAGCCTTTCACGAGCAAGCAAAGAGTACACAAAAAGGCTCCTCCGCCCCAGAGAAGCCAAAAACATACCAAACTCGGGCAAACCACACGGATCTCCGCTTCGCCTCATTTTGCCGCAAAAAAACCCGAGCGTTGTGGAGGCCTTTGGAGGAGTGGCTGGAGAGCTGGGCGAACGTGAACGAGGTGATGTCCTGCCTGGTGGTGAGGCCCTGGCGCTGGCTGGTGGACCTCAACTTCAACCAGCAGATGCTGAAGGCTTATCGCCCGCGAAGCGCGCTTCGTTGGCCTTCGGGGTGGCAAAAAAACACGAGGCGGTTTGTTGACAAAAGGGTGGAGCTGTTTGATGGCGACATTGAAGCTAAGCTTGAGACCCCGTTAAAAGGACGCTGCAAGCATGTAGCACAAATTTGGTGGTATGAGTTAACAGGGAGCCACCCTGACAAGCGGCTGGCGGATACAAATCTCGAAATGATGAAAAAACCAGAGGGTCCACAATACAAATCTGTACCCAACTGAGAGGCGGACTTGACCTGGGCAATGAACTTGCGACGTACCAGGATTTGCACAAACTTACCCAGGTTGGTGTCCCACCGGGGCAACGCCTGACGCCAATCCGGGAACCATACCATTGCCCTGAGCTATCTTCAAAATGCCACATGCTCCAAATTGACCGTTAAGTTGTCAAGTTCTTCGCCTCCCTTCAATGCATTGATCGTATAATTTCAATTGATGCCCAGGTCCCCGCAAGCGCTCACCTTGTGTCAAAGGTTCAAATAATTGGGGACGGAAGCTCTCTGGGGTTCGCGTAGAATCTTCGCGCTTCTTGAGAACTATCCCGTGTTCAGAGGTGCTGTACGACTTCCATTGGCCGTACCCAGAGTACCCGGAGCATGTGCGGCGGCCGCTGCCCTGGTTTGAGATCGTCACCTCCCTACCAGGCTTTGAGCCGAGCATGCGCGAGGAGGGGTCGAGCATGGGAGGGGCTTCGAGTGTGTTGCACAAAAGGCAGGGGGGGTAAGGGGGTCCTTTTACCCACAGGTGTGGTGTGGATGCCAACAAATTTGTTGGCGCCAGCCGGCTTTGATCTCGCCGAAGATCGCCGGCATAGCCACGGGCTCAGATATTGGTCGGCTCGCATCTACCAGTCTACCAGTACGCTGCTAGGAAGGCGCTTGCAGCACACAAAATACAAGAAGTCGCCGTGGGATGCCGTGGGTTTCTACCCCAGATATCCTAGGTGTCAAAGGCCACAAATGCCGGCTGATACGTCCGAAACGCGCATGGTTCTTCACGACCGGACAGCAAGCTCTGGATTCCAAGCGCAACTTTGGCCCCGCATTTCAGGGGCCAAACAGCCCACGACATGCACCCTGCCTGGATCAAGGCTTGCCATATTTCTTCCTCACAAAAACCGACTGAAAAGGGGCCACCTGCCAGCAAGGGCCTGCTAACGCTCTTGTGCACGCCTGGACGACGTGTGGCGCCAACTGGACACCTGAAGAGGCGAGCCCCACACAAACTTAATTCCCTAGATGTTGCAAGTGGGAAGAAGAAGCTCCCCGTACTTCGCCATTTGTGATATTTGTGAGTGTGATAGAATCTGGGCAAGTCCAAGCAACACAAGGGAAACCTGCGTTCCTTTCTAGTTTGTGAATCACTCCTGGAATGCATGTAAATCATGAGGACAGCGATGCGTCAACTTGATTAGGCATATAGGACCAGCCCAATCTACTGAATCATCAACTTGATTGGACATGTAGATCATGGGTGTGAACTCAATCAGGGACCCTGTGTGCATCATTTGAAGATTCATGTCCACCAAGCGCGGAAGGGTGGTTCCTTCCGCATTGGAATTCAGGTCCATACGAGTATTTCTCAAAATGGTGGACCCTTTTTTGGGAGGTTTCCAAGGGAGGCCGACAGGACGCAACCCATTTTGTGTGAGCGATTCCTTTGAGGAAAACCCCCCTAGTGCTTCCCTCGACTTCGCGGGCGAGGAGTGGCTTCAGCTGCACCGCCGGCTGCAGCAAGACCTGGAGCCCATGGGCCGGCGAGTCTTGGTCTTCGACGTGCGCCAGGGCTGGCCTTTCGGCTGACAGCCCATGGCTCCCGCTCTTCGAAGCAACAGGACTCACCCAATCGGTTGATTGGTTTGGTTCGATTGGTGCGTTCGGTTGGGTAATTTAGTTTGGTGGGTTTGGTTGGCTGGTCTGGCGGGTGGTTTTGTTGGTTGTTGGGAATGAGTTGTGCAAAAGCTGGGTTCGAAAGAAGATTCCTCTCAGCATGATGCTTGTTTGGGATTCATGGTCATCTTCGAGGGGAGCTGCACCCATGAAATGTGCTCGTTGATCTCTCGGGGCGGACATGGCGGTATTTCTGGATGTGGGATATGTGATTTTGCCTTATTTCCTGTCGGTGTTGCTTTCAACATGCCCCCAGCTCATTGAACCCCATGCACGCAGAAATGTAGACCTCGAACGCATTGCATGCTTATCTACAAGCAAACAAGTAAACAGAAAACGCATACACACACAGACACAGGTCAGACACAGACACAGGCACAGACACAAACACGCAAACAAACCAACACACAAACAGACAAACACACAAACACACAAACACAAAAGCACAAACAAGCCCCCACACACACACACACACAAACACAGAACCACCCGCCCAGCCTCCTACCCACTTACCCACGCACTCACCCACCCACCCACCCACCCACTCACCCACCCACCCACCCACCCACCCACCCACCCACCCACCCACCCACCCACCCACTCACCCAAGCACGCGGACGCCCTCCCGCGCGCCCAGCACGCGCATGCGCACCCACACCCACACCCACACCCACACACGCCCGCCCTCCCGCAGACATGTAATTATGCATTCCCGCATGCATGCATGCGAGTACGCACACACACACACACTTGTGTATGTACATGTATATGTACACATATTTACATATTCACAGGACCATGCTTACATATGAAGCCTACATGTATGCATAGCCAAAGCCACCAAGTGGGAGGCCGGGTTCCTTTTGGACTTGTCCAAGATCCCCCCCATAGTTCCATATGTCCATGGATTTAAGCCATGGCCAAAAGGACCCGCTGGCCACTTTGGTTTGGGGATGGTCATCAACCTTATAGTAAGGGCACCATGACCATGAAACGTAAAAGGAGGTCTGATTATGACATATGTGTTGTCTTGAGCGTGCCATGCGCTGCTTCCCCTTAGATGTGCCAGGCACCTCAGCCTTTCTTACCTATCGTTCTGTCTCCTTCATGGCCACTTTGGAGAATGATTAAATGTCTCTGCTCTGAACCTGGAGGCAAGCAAAGGTTTCCTGAAAAATGCCTTAGCAAGAAGTATATAATCCACGAGCACGATTCAAAACAAGCCACCGAAGCGCGTCAGATACCACGAAAGCGCGACGCTCCCGACAGGTATTCTTTGAGATTTGCAGGTGAAGCATGCCTCTATGTTTGGGTGTTTGCCCTAAGCTTCCACGACCAGGTGCAGCCATGCCAGCTACACAAGCGCCTTCCAAGCCCTTACAACCAACAAACACTCCTGATACTGCCTTGTTCAATATCTTCCTTCATTTTCTGAATATGTCGGAAGACCTCACATCTGCTGACAGCCTGCGTTTTGCAGCTGAGGTCATAGATTCCCAGACATCATACCATCCTCTCTTCACAGAGTGTGACCGACGGGGAACATATTACCATTGGCAGATGGGGCAAAGGTTATGCGCTTGTACCTCCAAGCATTTGGTTTCATCGCATTCCTCAAGCGCCTCAATACAAGTTCTTTCAATATCGGGAGCAACCCGGGAGCAAAGCAAGTGCTGGCCACCCAACCCACCACCAACCAGCCAACCAATCCATCAACCACCCAGCCATCCAACCAGCTGTCCACACAACCCCTACCATCTGGTTGTATCATTTTGTTTGGGAACTTCCTTGTGGTTCAAAAAAAGGGAACCAGTGTCCATTTTCGGGGGTCCCCCATTTTTTTTCAGACAAAATCATTTGGTGCTCGCACCTAGGCCCGTGCTGGCGGAGTTCTTAGAGGTGCCAATCCCTGAGGGCGACTTTCCCCGCACCAACTCCATCGCCGGAATGCGGCTCGCGCGCCGGGTGCTGGATGTGCCGCCGGGCAGCAAAGAGACGCCCGGGCGAACCTGTGTCAGTGAGCCAGCGAGGGAGGGAGGGAGGGAGCGAGGGAGGGAGTGCGTGGGTGGGTGCGTGGGTGGGTGGGTGGGTGGGTGGGTGGGGTGTGTGTGTGTGTGTGTGTGACTCAGTTACTGTGACTGGGTGACTCAGTGACTGAGTGACTGAGTGACTGAGTGACTGAGTGACTGAGTGACTGAGTGACTGAGTGACTGACGAAGTGACTGACGAAGTGACTGACGAAGTGACTGACGAAGTGACTGACGAAGTGACTGACGAAGTGACTGACGAAGTGACTGACGAAGTGACTGACGAAGTGACTGACTGACTGACTGACTGACTGACTGACTGACTGACTGACTGACTGACTGACTGACTGACTGAGTGACTGACTGCCTGACTTACTTACTGACTGCCTGACTGACGGACCGACCGAGGGAGGGAGGGAGGGAGGGAGGAGCGCGAAATCCAGCAACATGCACAGACACCTGAAGGATTTCAAGGGGACGATTCAGGAGCGTTGGGTTTTTGTTGGACCATCCCTGAGCCTTCCCTTGACCAAACGAATAGGCAAGCGAGCGAACACAAGGTTTTCAGTCATAAGTGCGCGCCAATCCAAACTTCCAAGCCCAAGCCGGATCAATTTGAAGGGTAGCCGCGTGTACCTCGGCCGCTCCCAGCGACCGCTGATTTGGGCCGGGGGCTCCTAGGCTTGCGGCGGCCTTGCCCCTGTGGGTGCCATTGGCGCTGTGGCTGCTCTGGGCTCCTGGGCTTTGTGTGTGTGTGTGTGTGCGTTAAGCGTACCCTAAAAGGAAACCAACATGAAGCCGCCGTTGGCCCCTATTTCGCGGCCCGGACATCTGATGGCCGCATTTGCTGAGGCGTGAAAGCCTGGAAAGGGACTGGGAAACATTTTCTTTAGAGACTTAGCTAGGGGAGGGCAGGACAAGTTGAAGATGCCGCCAGATTGCAACCGCACAAGCCTTGCAAAACCCAGCTATCCACACTGGTTTCCTGGATGCCTGCCATTCATCAGTTTAAAGGTATTTGTTTGCTGGCACCATAACCCTGTTTGCTAGAATGCATGTGCGAGGAGTTCTTTTGCCTGTCTGGATTGAGGTGAAAATGGTGACCTCTTTGGGCCCTGATAACGAAGGCCCTGCCAAACAAGTGACAAACAGCAGCGGCACGTGTTGCAGTCCGTAGTGCTAGCGGTTTATGCAATTCTGGATACTGAGCGCTGTCATCCACCGGGGAGTGCGATTGGGCACCTGTTGCTGGAGCCGTGCGTGAACTCAGAATTGAGTCGTGTTTCTGTTCCTTTTTCAGCCCTAAAGATCTTACACACCTACACACACACAACTCGAATGGGCAGATGTATACAACACACACAAAGTGCAAGATAGTCCTCGATTTCTGCGCTTCAGGCAAGGTGTTTATTTTCGGCTGTCCAGTGCGCGCATAATGGTGAGTGTGGCTCTCTCGTTGTATACACGTCCTATTGGCAATTGAGCATCCTCCGCGAACAAATGGGCTCAACCTTCAACGGAACAGTCAAATATCTTTCACGCTTTCTTTGGACTGCGGTGAGGGTGACTGCTTTTAAGAAACGGAACTCAGAGCTTGCATATTTTGACTCGCCAACTTCAACATCCTCTCCTGCAGCTACTTCACAGGCTATGATATCCCACACTACCCCCGTTGCAGAGGCCTTCTGCCTGAGGTTCTGATGCTGCAGCTCTGCTGCTGTTTTTTGCGCCTGATCCCGCGGATGAACTTGGCAAGGAGGATATGGAAGTGGAAGCATCCCAAGGCCAAGACGAAATGATGGGAACCTCAAATCGAGCAAGCTTGAACCAAATATAGAGGCTTGAATGTGCTGGGAACAGATTTGATTGAAAAGTTCAAGCCACACCCGTACTCCGTTTTCTAAACGCAAAAGGACTTACACGTTGGCCCCGATGACCCTCCTTGGTTCGGAGTGGTTTGCTTTGGGGTTTCCATCAAGTCGACTCCCGAGCGGCGAGCTCACTGGAACCGCCTTACAAGTGGAGCCGAGGCTTGCTCACGGTCGCGTGTCGTCCTTTTTGGGAACCTCCCTGTGGGTTTGAAGGGATTTGTTTTACAGTTTTTTAACTAAACTTTTTTCATTTGTCTTGTTGAATGGAAACCAAGGTAAACCCACCTTTGCGGGTCCTCAGGAAGAAAAGACACCCGTTTGTGCCCGGGCTTCAGTCGTTTGTACGATCGGTACTGTCGGCAAAGCCCGTGTAGCAATTACAGAGTTGTGCGGCAAGGTGCTGGCAATCATACGTATCAAAGGAGAGTACCTGCTTCAACGGGGTTGGCGCCCACCTCTCAGCAAACCACAGGTTCTGATTGCGCTTCGCCTTGCCTGCGCCTGTCATTCCTCCATGATTCTGGTGGGAACCAAACGCAACATATCATTGTTTTCGCGGCGAAGGACCAAGTTACAGTTTATAGGGCCTTAAGAATCAACTGGCAGGATCACCCTGAGTTTCCATTTATGTGGAGCAAGTTGCAAGCTGGGGGACCTTCAGTTGGGGTCGGTGCGCTGTTTGCACTTGGCCTTTTATTTCTTCCAGATTCATTCCAGAAATGCTTTTGATGTATTAACGGCACTGTGGTTGCTTCTTTTTCAGGGCAAATTCCCACTTGGTCTCGTCAGCCAAGGAGGAAGCCATTCCCCGATCAACTAATTCAAGCCACCAAACAAGACTGCAAGATTCACAGCTGCGTACTGCTTTCATGGGCTGAATTTGGCCAAAGCAACACAAGGCTTATATCCTATGAGCTCCTTTTCTGAGCTTCGATAAAGGCTCACATGACTTTACGTTCTACATACAGGCGGCGCCATGCAACCCCTGGTCTCCGTTTAATGTTTTCGTAACGCAGTGTTTGGGGAAATTGGAAATGTTGGATGCGATAAGTGTGATAGTCAGAACCTTTCAAAACGATGCCGCCCATTTTGGGACCCCTCGGTTCAACCAGTGAATTAACTCACATCTTGGTTAGTGCGTCCCTGATTGATTCTGATTGGTGCGGTCGTCGCCCACGGCCGGCGGGGACGTCAAGCTGGGGCTTGCCATCAACCGAAGACGCGCGCGTGTGAGCTGTCCAAAAGCAGAGCTAAGGTATTTGGACATGGGGCGTGGCTGTGATGTGTCACAGAGGGCAAGCTAAGCGGCAAAACAACATGGATGAGTATAGAAGTATGGTAGTGTTTGTGGATACACACAACTTGACCGCATACATACAAGTATCATGTGTATGTATACGTAGGTAGGCACATAAACACATAGACCCATAGACACACACACACACACATGTGAGGCCTACGAATATACATGTGATCAAGTTTATTATTGTTAGACGTATACATATATCTATATAAAATACTTTTTCATGAGTTCACACATGTCATTTCAAGACAGAAAAACATAGGCTGGCTTCAATGAGGTGTTGTGCTTGGTGGTGATCATTGAACTTTCCAGGGCCAATGCCAAAGGATCTCATCACCCTTGACTCCAGAGATCTTCAAAGCATACGTTGCCATACAGAGCATCTGTATTGCCAGACATGGAGAGTTCCCAAAATTGCCACAGCTGAATGTGGGAGGTGAATGCTATGGATTTGTCTTTGTTTGCGGCAAACAGAACCCATCTTGCTGGACAGGGCCTCGGCCAATTGGCTGCAAGCGGATGCAGTTCCTTTCTAAATTCCAGGCATCCGGGAAAAGTCCCCTTAGGCTTCAGGCATGCGCGATACGCGCTTGAACTCTCCCCCCTCAGCCCATCGCCTTCTCGCCTGCCTGATGCCAAGCTCAAAGCGGCCTGCTGTTCCTCTCAATCCTGGAAAAAGAGTGATACTGTGGATGGACGAAATCCATTTCGCACCACCTAAGAAACCCGGAATGATGATTGACTTGTAAATACCAACAAACAATGGTTTCCAGTGGTTTCAAAGTGGTGCAGGGTTTCGTCCATCCACAGTAGAGAGAGCGAGGGGAGCGAGGCAGTTCTCTGAGAAGGGCTGGACGAGAGTGCCTTTCCCTGGGAATTCATGTTCTTCTCGGGGTAGATTGGAGCACAAGGGTGGACACTCTGTCACTGTTTGCATGAAGTTTTTTTTTTTTTTTTTTTTTTTTTTCAGGTGGTAGGTGCTGTTTTCGTCCATAGAAATAGAAACCTCATCACATGTTTGTTTGGTTGAGCTACTCACATGCACAGCAGCTTCCGCCACAAATTGAAGACTGGGGATGCGCACCAGGGCAGGAAATCCTTCGTTGAACGGTAAAGGAGTGGGTTTGTAGGGATGATCCTCTTTGATATGTGAAATGTTGGGTTAACTAATGCCTTCCCATTTTGGAATATGGGAGGCAGGCTTAGCCCTCCAGTACTGCCCTGCTGCACTTGTCGCTTCGTTTTCCTTGCCAAACACGATCAGAACATCGGCCACAATCCCCTTGCCTGCAAGGCCAACCCCTGCCAACACCCAGTTCTGCTCATGGAAGCTCGCCTCCCATGGGAGGTGGAAATCCCGCGCGTCCCGGGCCCAGTGGCGCCTGCGGCGACTGCGACATCTGCGGGCATGGCATCTGTCACGGCTGCGGCATCGGCGGCATCTGTCGCGGCAGCGGCATCGGCGGCATCTGTCGCGGCAGCATCGACGGGCTTGGCGGGGAGGCCAAATTGCGCAAGTGGAGCTGCAAGCGCCGGCTCAGTAGATCGTTTCTTAAACTGCAAATTTTGTACCCAGAACCTCCCCAAGTGCTGGGGTCCACAAGCTCCTGGAAACTTCCAACTTTGGGGTCTTGTCTGTTGGTCAGTGGCGAATCGAAGCGAATCGAATCCAGGCTGAGGAGAGGTCGCTGGAGGACTTTTTGGAGTTTCTCTATGACCAGGCGGACACCTGGGCCTAGCCCGAGCGTTTGAACAGTGGTGCATGAAGATGGTTATGAAGGTGCAGGAGGTTTCAACCCATAGCCCCCCCTCCCAAACAAAAGGGATGTTTCCTTTGGCTTCCTTTTAGCCGTCTTGGCTTTGAAGTCAACAGCAACTTCCGCTGATTCAGGCGGAAGCCCTTCATAAGGTGGGAAAGCGACATAGTGCACACGTTTGGTTGGGAAAGATTGACAAATACCAACTAGTCTATTGAGGATCCTCCACAGTCAGATCTGAAGTGAATGTCCGTCAACAGCAGGAGTGAGGGGAGGGGCTGACTACCCAACCCCAAAACAGCCCCAGGCCCATTTTCATGGCTGTTGGCAACACGGCGCCTGAGCAGTTCAACCATGTTCAACTCACTTAATCCATTTGCGGCAGAATAACATGTCACAACTAAGCCTGGCTGTCCTTCCACATGCATGGTCCGCGAGCCTTCCTTTCAATCCGGTGCCTTGCTTCGCAGCATGCCCGATTGATGAACTTGCTCACGGAATGGCCCGGCCTTGCACGATGAATGACTGCGCGGTCGGGATATGGCTCAGCTTGCGCGACCTGCAGTGTCACCTGTTCGAAGAACAGGCCGCAATAGGTGCAGGGCATGAAACTTCCTCTGGCGCTTTTGGTGTTGGAGACCAACAAGAATCAATCATTCGCGCAGCCTCGCCGGATAGCCCCAAATTCGGGTTCGCAAGTCCATGCTTGCGAGTTCACTGCTCGTTGAGCCGGGGCGTGTTCTATCCCCGGTGAGTCGTGCCGCGTCGCATTCGGTCAGGTCAAGACCAGGGCAGACCAGGTGCGGACCCCGGAAGTTCCATATGAGGGGGGGGGGAGAACCCTTGCGACAGTCGGAGGAAAAACAAAGATGTTGCCATGTCAACGGAGAGTTCCAAGACTTCCATTTGGCTCAGATTTGTTCTTGTGATTGTCCACTGTTGGTTTTAAAGGGACTCTATCACTACTGGACATGTTTTTTTGTTCCAGGGGACTTAAGCAAGCAAATGGAGGAAGATAGTTCACGGACAGAGGGGAAGAAAGAGGCTGGACATTGCTTGTCAACTACTTGCCATCCTGGAAACCATTGGCTATGGCCTGCAAGCTGAGGAGTCCGAATCATCAGGCGTGCAGTCCTGGATGAATTGACTGGATCTCATGGTCGGGTCGGTCTTTCTTGCGAGCACCGTTTTGGGGTCCAAATCCTGTGAGGACCGGACGCTAAGATGGCGTGCCAGGTCACCAGAGGAGACTTGGCAGATGCTTTGGCCGAGCTCGAAGCTCAACGCGGGGATGGATGAAGGGCGCTTAGAACCAGGGTACATTGACATTGGGCCAATTGACGAAGCGTCCCAGTTTGGGTTGCTCCATGTGGGGGTTCAGAAATAGGGTTTCCCTTCCTTGGATGGTTTTAACGGGGAAACCAGGAGGACAGAAACAAGGATAATGGTTGGTTCCTAAAAAGGGAGACCATCATTTTGAGAAGCACCCATTTGAGTACGTCTCAAAATGGGTACTCTCCATGTCCCATTGACGTCCTTTTAAGCGCGAAAGACATATATACTTATTTTGAGCCAAAACGTGCATCGCGGAGCACTCAAGGCTTGGGAGATCGGATGTGCGCCGGATGTGCGCTCACGGACTGTTTGGGAATCCAGGACAGCGCAACTTCTTCCCTCCAACGAGCAAGATGCCGTAGAGCTAAAGCTGATGTTTCTGCTGCTTTTGGTGCCAATGTGAACAACGAACCAAGTTCATTCAGTCCCCAACGGACGCTTCCAAAGATGGTGTTACAGGCCAACCTTCCGGAGGTGTCGCTGGAGTTGCTACCGGCCCTTCAGAAGATGTCATGATGTTGGTGATATTTTGCAGTGTCATGCCATTTGCTTG